TGCCATGCCGGGACAGCATATGCAAGTATAAATGATCTCACAGAGCACTTATAAATATTGATAATATTGCTGCCAGCTACACCAGCTCTTTTAAGCACCGTTAAGGAATCATTTGGCGGCTTTACCATAAATGTAATCAATGTGGTAGTTCCATGTAAGATCAAGCCTAATTTTTTACACCAAGTTTTTTAAATGTCGAAACACGCTGCTCTAACTGATGGTTTCCAAAGCAAATAGGCTGTATGGTATTATTGGGATATTTCATGAAATTTATAACCATTTCTTTATGATTTAACTGTGTCTGTCTCTAACAAGCAAAATTCAAATCGCTAATGAAAACCGTAGTACGTATCTAGTATTGAGTCTATTTATCTAAATTGAGAACCGGGGCACGCCCATCTTAGTTCCTTGGGTATGTCACCATGGGTGTGTTTCCACTCAGACAAGGTATTACCTATACACACAGCTTGGGTTCTATTGGTCAGAAACGACTGACTTAATCCAATCAGATAGCACAGGTTCCACAGCAAGAAGTGGAGTTCGTCTATAAGTATATGTTAATCTAACATATCAAACCCCTCTGAGAAGTCTGAAAAGAAGATCTGTACACAAGAATTTCCGAATAGGTAAGTAAGAATAGAATAAACGGGTAGAGACTTTTGAAAATAATTTAAATATATATATATAATTGGTGGAGCAATACAATAGCTGAAAACTTGTATAAAGAGGTAATATAAAAATAAATGTAGAAGATTAAATTCAACTCGTCGGTCACTGGTCTTATCTAGCCCTTGATGAAGACTAGTTTGGTCTAATCGAAATATTGGGCAAATAAATTAATTTGTAATCCTTAGCTGGCCTTGACTTCAATTTTCAGTGTTGTTTTGTAGGGCTAATCCTGATCTACAACAACATCCAGCTTTCCCTCGCTGCAGTTTGTCTAGTTTTCCTGACAAGAATTGTACGCTAATATACAGAATGACGTTGGTAAACATGGGTAAACAGGATAAACAAGGGTATACAAGGTACACTTTATGACTAGGGTAAACATGGGTACGCAGGATATATAGGGGTATACAGGGTATGCAGTATTACTAGGGTAAACGTGTACACAAGATATTTAACAATTATTCCTAGCCCGAATGGGCTCTGAGTCAAAAGCCCGTGAGGGCGAAGGCCGAATGGGCTATTGACTTAGAGGCCATGAGGGCGTTGTTAGTTGATAGAGAAGAACTGTGTAAGACGTAGTTCCTATGTTACCCTGTGTTACTGTGTTACCCTGTGTTACCATGTGTTACCCTGTGTTCCCCGGTAAGTACTACATGCTAGCACACCATATAGTCGTGCAACATAAATTAAACGAACAGTGTGTACAACGTCTTGTAAGTAGTACGCGTTTCTCAAAACTCCTCCGTTCTGTACTTTCTACTCCTCGCTTGTCCTTTGTGTCCTTTTATGTCCTTTTATGTACTTATTCGTCCTCTTCCGTCATAACTAGTCCTTTTCTGTCCTTACTAGTACTTTTAGGTCCATATTAGTCTTTTTATGTCCTTACTAGTCTTTTAGTATCCCTACTAGTCCTTTTCCGTCCTTTTATGTCCTCATTAGTTCATGTCTGTCCTTATTAGTCCTTTT